ATCACAGCAACCACCATCCTCCTCCTCACAGTGGCGTGGGGTCGTCAGCAGGAGGAGAAGTCTTCAGATGAAGGGAGCGCTCATCATGGCTGCCCACAGGCCCAGAGCAGGCACCCGCAGCTTTATCACCCGATTTGTATCTAAAGCCTCTCAATCAGGGACCACAGAGAGGGCTCAGCGCAGCTGCACAGCCCCCCAGCTCTGCTCATCTGCTCTCACCCCCAGGGAAGGGGCCGTGGCATCCCCCGGGGGCGCTCTAGGCCACGGGAAAGCAAGGGAAGCTGCTGACGGGGACCTGCACCTGCGGTGGTGACCCCACCTGTGTTAAGAGGCTGTGCCCACTTTCACCTCACAGCCCCCGAGCAAGTCCCCAGGCCTGAGTCTGGGACCCTGGGACAGACGCCTAGGGCAGGACCCACAAGGCCACAGCCTGGGGGCAAGAATGGGAGCTACGCCTGCAGCCACTGCTCCGGCCACCTCATGCCAACCACAAGCAAGTGCTTGATGTACTAGTAACAGAAGGAAGAGGGTGAGGTATGTGACCATGTTGGCCCCACATACGACATCCCTGCGGGAACAAGGAGCTCCCACCCCAACCCCCAACCTGAGGCCCCTGGGCAAGGGCACCTACAAGACCCAGGCCCAGGCCCTCCAAGGTGTGGCCCCAAGGCAGGGGCCTGGTCCGCTCGGGCAGCAGCTGGCAGGGCGCAGGCCTGCTCCACAACCACAGTCCGTGGCTCAGAGAAGGTGAGCGTTAACCTGTCTGTTAGGCAGACGGCCTTCCATCGATGGGAACCTTTACCTATATCTAAAGGTCTCCAGGCTCGGAAGACTCCCCGTTTCTCACTCCCAGCATGCTCGGTGGCAGGAAAGCCTCGGAGGTCATGGTTATTTCCGCCCCCAAGACACTCTGTGCACGTGTACCCCAGGGAGCTGCCACCACTCTGGGGACCGAAGCCCAGGCAGCCTCCAGCCAGCCCTGGGTCTGCGTAAACAGGACAGACACACCTGCCCTCACACTGCCCCTGGGTGTCCTTATCACAGCCCATTGCCAGGTAGATGACACCCTACCCCCTTTCCCCTTCTCCACGGCTTCTGCCTGCTGGGGAGACTCCGTGGGGGTCCTCTCCTAGAGTCGGGGCCCTGGCCTCTGCCTTCCATCAAGAAGGCTCTGGGAAACACCACCCCACACCCTCCCCAGATGGCTGCTGTCTCCCACCTCCTGTTTCCTGCCCTGAGAAGCCCTCCTGGGCCTGCAGATGCCTCCATGCTGTCTGTGCCTTTAACAGTTGTGCCCAAGGCAGGCCCGGCAATCCCTGCCTGCAGCCTTCATTTGGGGCAGGGGCCTCCACATCCATGGGCACGTCTAGAGCCCCTCCTATCTGGGACCATCCTGTCAGCCAGGCTGGCAGGCAGGCAACTTGACGGTGCACACCTCAGCCCAGGCCCCTCCGCGGGCGGGCACAGGGCCTCTGGCAGCAGAGCTGGGCACAGGTCCTTGGCACATGCCACTGGCTTGGCTGGCAGTCACCCTGTTAGGATGGGGAGGGACCACCACTCATGTCCCAGAGCCCACCAAGTGGTGCTCCTGCAGGACAAGGGCTGCTAACTGCAGGGCAGTCCAAGGGCACAGGCCCCTGAGCCCCAGGACAGGGAGGAAGACAGGCAGGCCACCCTGGGAAAGGAGTCTTTTCATAGAAGAGAAAGAGAGAGGAAATCCCACGGTGAAACCATCCAGCCCTCACCCTGACCCAGCGGGACACAGAGCCTATTAGTTAGTCAACAGGCAGCCACAGCCCCCACTGGAAACAGAGGGAGTGCTCAGCTGGAGAACCCCGCCTTCGAGACAGCGAATCACTAGGCAGGGGCTGGGCTTCCCAGGCCAATTGGCTGTGAGGCTTGGACATTCTGTTCCCAGGGCAGGAGCCTCATGTGACTCCTTTCCCTTCTCTCCCCTCCCCTCCCA